GGACTAGAAATGCAGTGTCTCCCTGCTGATGTTCATATACACTGAAATAAATGTCTGCCAGTACCATGAGAGGAGTGATCTGCATGTGACAGCAGGGCCGGTTTTTGGCATAGGCGACATTTAGGGCGCCAGATCTGGGGGGTGCTGCTGGTAGCTCTGGGAGGGAAAACAACTTTTTTGACCGTTGGTGCTCATCCTAATTTTCGGCCTTGATTTAAAAACATTCATAATTAAGTAAATGTAACACCCTTTTCACCCCGGTTACACTTTTCATTTGTCCTGTACGATGGGCGCTGTAAGTGATGAAAATGGGGGATGTTGGCTTATCAGGCGCCCGCAGCTCACAGCCAAAGTGCGAGTGAGCGTGGGAGCGAGCGAGGGAGAGAGGGAGGGTGCACCGGTACCAGCGCTGTTGTTATTAGCATCTGGTGCTAGCTGCTCTAACGGATATTAGAAGAAGATGTTTCTACAATGATGTGGAGGGAGAGTCCTCTCCTCTCAGACTGAGAGGCTGATAACTACAGCTCAGTGAGGTAAAGGACTCTGAGTGTTTAGATAGTTCACTTTAGTCTAAGTTATCTCAGTGGGTCTCAAACGGTTTGATCACAATTTATGTAAACAAATATTTCCAAGGCACTCCTTCATAATTATTGGGATAAACAGCTCAAATCTCGCCTCGGGCATCAAATGGTCTAGAACCGGCCCTGTGTGACAGCTTGATGCTTTAGAAAGGAAATTGATGATGATTTATAGGCAATCAACATATAAAGAAATGGTGATTGAACCCAAAACCGTAAAATATGTATTTGTTACGGCCCGTCCACACGGCGGCGTGCGTTGAAGCTTCAACGCTTCTGCCCATTCACTTTGAATGGGGTGACCCCGCTTTGCCGAACTGCATTGTGGGAGCGTCGTTTCGCTTTGCTCGCTTCAAAAGTTGAGCAATGTTCAACTTTTGAAGCTTTGACGGAAGCGTCAGCCAATCAAAAAATATGCCAGTACAAGCTCTAGCCAATCAAACCGCGTGCTTGTGTGTTCGGGGCGGGAGATTCATGTGATTGGTTGTTGGTCGAGTTTCAGACACGCCCGCCGGGAAGCGTCAACGCATGCCACCGCGTGGACGCTGCGTTACAGTATAATAAACTGTAATGAACAAACAGTGAAATGTAGGAACAACATCATCAAAATACGTCTGTGCTGAATATTGAATCTATTTTCACAAATAATACTTCTAATGACATTGCAGATGTACATGATGCCAGCATCCCCATTATATTTCCTAATGAGCCCATCAGAGGGCTCTTTATGTCAACCCCTTTAGAGATCATATACACTGAGGAAGTGATGTCATTGTTATAGACATTTCCCCCTAACCTCTTTAGCATGTGACCCGTGACCTTCCAGTGTGTGGATGAGCTATTTATTGCCATGTCTTCAAAATGTGTGTGTGCGTATGCGTATGTGTGTCACAGTAATGGACGGGGGTTCAAAGGCCATAGCTAGAGGGTGAGGAGTGGAGTTGGGATGTATGGGGGTGGGAGGTAATATGCATTTATAGATACACAATAAACACACAAACACACACACATACACGCAAACACACACACACACACACACACACACACACACACACACACACACACACACACACACACACACACACACATACATACACACACACACACACACACACACACACACACACACACACACACACACACACACACACACACACACACACACACACACACACACACACACACACACACACTCACCTCTGGGACAGTCATTAGTGAATTGGTGAGTGCTAGACCTGTTTTAGATCAGGGAATAGCAGGTGATATCAAAGTGCCCCACCCTTCCTCCCCCACACACACACATGTTCACAAACACACACTCTCTGTATTGTCCCATGAGGCAGTTGAAAGTAGCTCAGAGAGGACAGTTTGAAGCTGGCGAAGGTTCAATAACACTGGGGCCATTTCCACTCAACTGCACATCACATACTCTTTCCTTTAACCGGGCAGTCAAACATCATTGTGATGGGGTCAGGTGCTGCTACAACCCGAGCTGACAGGGAGAGTCTCTGTGTGTTCTGTATGTCAGAGATTACACAGCGCTGTCTCCTCCTCCAGTGTCATACTACTACTGTGCCCTTTGGCAACGCACTTAACCCAGTTAAACATTTCTCCCCCAGATGTTCATTATATACCATACTGTAAACAAGGGGGGGCTTTAAACACATTACATGAACTTTACATTCGAAGTTTTAGGCCAGTCGTAGGCCAGAACTGGGAGTGACGTCACATCCTTGTTGACTGTGTTACAGTAGCACAGGTCGGAAAAAGTAGTTAGCCGTGTTTACAGCTTTAGCAGTACCGGGTTAGCCATGGTTAACCATACCGGTTGATAAGCTTGTTTTGTAAATCGTAGCAACATATCCACAGATAGAACATGAACAGTACCATATGTACAGTTGATTTAATGTGACGCAAATAATACAGAAGTACTCAACATTTTATATTATCAAAGTGTTGTTTTAATGTTCATATGCGGAGACTTCATTTTGTATCCATATCTGCGAGTTTCCAAGTAAGAAGTCCGACCTCACGGGGAGTTAGTTAAAATGTCTGACTGGGAACTCGGATACTCCCACCTCCCAGTACGACTGGGATGCACCATGCACCATGCACCATGCACCATCATTGCAGAATAAATTCATTTTCAATCATTTCAACGGCAAAAAAAGACTGTATTGCAGTTTTATCCACAGACCTCAAGGCAGACTGTGTTTGAGTGTGTGTTATTTGCAAGTGTAATGGCGCATTTCCACTACAACGGGGTAGCCCTGTTTAAGCGTCCCTAAGCGTCCTCGCTCAGGCCTCGGGCTGCCTCGCTGGCCGTCCGAGGCCGTGGCGCATTTCCATTACAGTTTAGGACCTGGGGTAGCAACGCAGTGTAGGCGGGGCGATCGGCTTTGTTGTTCCGTCGAGCTCCCGCTGGATTTGATCATCCCCAATGAGATGTAGGAATGTCGTCACCTCCTCGGTCGACCACGGTGTGCTTTTCTTATTAGACGTAGCCATTTTTGTAGCTCATCCGTTTACAAAATGCTGTTTATAAAAATGCTGCAAGCTTGCTTCTAAATATATATGCGACGCTAGGGATGAACTCGCGCGCGATCTTGTGACGATTCTCTCTGACCAATCAGCAGTCGAGAGTGTTGACGTCACTAGTTCAGCCCTGGCCCTGGTCTGATAGAACCACGATTTTATGGGGCCGGAAAAAAGAGGGAAAAAGTACCCGCTAGCCGGGTACTAGGCTATATGGAAAGGCCACCAAAAACTGGCCTGGCCGCTTGAGGACGGTTAAGGACGCTTAAACGGGGCTACCCGCTGCAGTGGAAATGCGCCATAAGTGTGTACACAGTAAATTTCTCTGAGTAAAATTGAAGAAAATTGAAGAAAATTTTACTCTAAAAATATTACATTTGGTCCCAACCTATATAGAGTAAAATGTACTCTTTGTTCAGAGTTGTATTTTTAGAGTTCATTTTACTCTATTATGTGCTTAGATTTGACTCTGCTTAATGGTTATTTGCTCTATGTAGTGTATATTAAAAACAACTCTACTGCCATTTTACTCATAATAGAAGGTAATTTTACTCCCAATCGAACGTCATTTCACTCCAACTAGAAGGTCATTTTACTCCCAATCGAATGTCATTTTACTCCAAATAGAAGGTAATTTTACCAGAATAGAATAAATGAACCATAATGATCTTTATAATAAAAAAGGTCAATAAACCAAAGTGCTTAAGTAACATGAGTGGGCGTGTGTGAAGCTGACCATTGAGCGGCCCGACCAAGCAAGGAGGCAGAGGCAGAGAGTTAAAATACAACCCGGTGTGGGCATTTATTAATCGCTGTGGTTCATGATACACAGCCTCAATATGACTGTCTCACGTGAACACAGTCACCAGCAACAAGGACCTCACACACACTAACAGGAAAACAGAACCTAAATACACACAGGACTAATCAAACCAACAAGACACAGGTGAGGAGGGAGGAGAAAACACAGGGCACCAGGTGAACACAATCACCAGCAACAGACAAGACGGGAGGGGGAACACTTTTCAAACTACAACAGGAAACAGAGACAGACAAACTAAAACATAGACAGATCGTGACAAATAGATGCATAAATGACATCGATTCACATGCTTCCTGTGCAATGTTTTAGCGTGGAACAAAGTAATATACTTCGCCAATAATGAAGCTATATAATATAAGAGACCGAGATCTACGGCCCCAGAGATCACCTCCGTTACAGCGTGGTCATGGTTTGACTCCAATAGAATTGACTCTGCATTTTTGATCGCACTCTAGAAGCTATGAGTAATAAATACACTCCAAAATGATTAAATATCACTATTTCAGAGCAAAATAGTAATTACTCTGGAAAAAATACTCACCAATATTTCCTGTGTAGAGCAATAGCAACACAGACAAGAAGGACACAAAGAAAGAGAGAAAGGCATCCTGTGATGCTCAGGGCAGCGGCTGGAGTTCAGACGCTCTTTCAAAGCACAGACACACACTGTAGCTGAAGAAACAACACCGCTGCAGACAGCCCTGAGGTGTGTGTGTGTCTCTCTGTGTGTGTGTGTGTCTGTGTGCTGTCTATTCTACTGTATTTCCTGCTTCCTTCTGCGCTCAGACTTAATTAGCAGTCAGCACATCTGAAAGAGATCTTATCTCTTCGCACACCAAGCTTGTACTAATAGAGCTGCAAACATATTCATTATTGTCATTATTAGCCTGTCAATTGGTCCAGTCAGAGGGACCATAGATGGTGCTTATTTGGAATAATAGAAAAGCCCCTGTTGAGCTATGGTGTGATGCTTTCTGATGAAAGTGATGAAGTTGTAATGTGTTTTCTCAAGAGGGTTGAAGAGGTGGTTAAATTGTTAATCTGTTGTCTTTGTGTCTCATCAGGTCTGTGAAGGGGTCACACGACAGAGTGGGTGGACAGACAGAAGCACAGTGTCCACATCAGTAAATCCTCACGTAAGTCAATGTTTCTGTTAAACAGTGCTGCATGTTAGACACGAGTACAATAATACACAGTGTAGACTTCTACTGAACACTGCCTTGGCCTGACAGGAGAAAACAGAACAAAGGACAGGACAGTCACCATGAGAGTCAGTGGTATCTGTGGGGGAAACTTCTGAAGCAATAGGAGTCAGGACTCAGAGAGAGACACGAGGAGAGCTGGAGCTTTGATGGCAAACACTGACGGTTTATTTGAAGCATCGGCCGGTCTGACCACAGGGTTGAGATGCCACAATCAATCCTGAAGACCCCTCCTGTAGCTCCAGGTTTGAACTAGTTCAGAGTGTAATAATCATCATTCTTCAATAGATAGACTAAACAGCTGAGGACACTGAATCACATTTGTTGTCGCTTATGGCTCGGAGGCATCTACACCCCGAGAAGGATATGTTCCAGGTGTCCCACAACAATAACTATCTCTGACCGAGAGTTGCCCGGTCACAAACTGGCCACAACAACAAAAAACAGCCCCTCCTTAAAGGAGATAACGGCTGCTCTAGGGTTAGGGCATCTGCGTCAGATGGCGAAAGGTAAACATGTATACAGAATTATTCCCTGACAGAAACTACATTGAAGAGTAGTGTTGTTAAGCCTGATTGCTGGACGATTAAGGATATTAACGTTATCTGTGATAATAGTAGAAATATCTTATTTTTCAATACTTTATAATCTGAGAATATTAATGTATTTATTTTGTTTAGTACGAAAGTGTAATCTGATCTGACAAAAATATATTTATCACCACTATTTAACACATGTCTGTTCATTGGAAATATAAAAACAATCATTAATTGTACATCTGTAAACATCTGGTCATTCAATTCAAATGTTAACTTTGTACGAGAGCTGGAAGAACCTGGTGAAGAGTAGAATCCTCTCTCAGCAGAAAGATGAAGAAGACTCCCATCTCCTCAGAAAGTTGAAGATTAGAATCCTCTCATCTCGAACGACCTCGTGCCTCCTTGCACGTGGATGGGGGTGCCCTCTGCAGCCGGAGAGTGTGACCCTCTCTCTCTGACCCTTGGCCTTCAGAGCTGTCCTAGTTATTGGGTTAACACTTGATAGGGATGTTTTCCTGAGTGAAGACAACTCAAAGTAATGGATTAGCACATTATCATTTAAATACAAAAATAGGATAGGCCCCTCAGAATTATTTTGGAGCCTTCCTGACACACGCACATGCATAAATGTAAGATTTGTGTTAGTCATTTAACATGCAAGAATCATATACTCATCAGTCCAAAGCAGAGAAATGTTATTGTAATTTAAAGGTGAGCTAGTCCCTGTGGATATCACCCCTTCTCAATGATTCTAAATGTTATATTAATTCACCATTTACCGTTTGATAAAAGATTAGTTTATCAGAAATACATTTTCTCTTCCATAAAGGTTTGAGAAATAAATGACCCAATATAAAATAAATTACTCAATATAATTGACTCTTCACATGTATACAGAATTATTCCCTGACAGTATTTACAAAAAAAGCTCTGGTTATTCTAGTTACAAAGTTACTCACAAAAAACAAGGGCACAACGCCTAAAACAACCTGGTTTATCACACAGAACCACAGAAAGGTGGATTTGGAGGACAGGACCAAGGTACTGCTGAGACTCAGCACTATGGGCCCTTGCAGTTTGAAGATCCTCACAGGACAGAGTGCAACCTCTCACACAAAACACTATACACATGTCAGAGTTCGGCCATGGGCAGTAACGCTTGCCATCTGACAAGTCAATTACATGAAGATTAGCCCAATTCTGGCAACAGTATTTTCACCTCTCCTCACATCTGCTCTGATTTATCATATCATAAAAGCATTTTTCACCTGAAGATTACCGCCTAAGAACATATTTTCCTTCAACATTTCATTATTTCAGTAGGCTTTTCTGTTGTTTTTCTCTGACTGATTTTTACTTTAAAATGTGGGAAAAGTTTTTCTTGAAAAATAGGCGGTAACGTCACTTCCGTACTAAATGGTCTTAAAGCTGCTGAGTCATATATTGCTTGCTATAGTTGAAGTAATACTTAGTTAACCTGTTCTACACCGCCCCCCTGATACCGGGGGGAAAAACGCGTCATCTGCAGGAAACAGCGTCTGAGGGCATCTTAATATTCAATAAACTGTGAATGTACGTTCTTTAAAAACATTCTTAAAATGTTTGGTGAAACTTCTTAAGAAGGTTATCACCAAACATTTCAAGAATGTTTTTAAAGAACGTTATCCTACCTTTCAGAAGAACATTCTGGGAACCAAAATAAAATGTCCTGCTGAAAACATTCCTAGAACAACGAATGGTAACAAACATTTCTAGCTGGGAACTCACACATGCCACCGCAAACATGCAATATCTGCTTACAGCTTATCATGAATTACGTGCTTGTTTGTTTTTTTCAAAAGGAAAATGTGGTGACATCAGATTTTTTAAGATAAAATGGACTTTTATTAATCCCCGTGGGGAAATTGTTTCTCTGCATTTGACCCATCCTAGTGTTAGGAGCAGTGTGCTGCCATTTTGAACGGCGCCCGGGGAGCAGTTAGGGAACGGTGCCTTGCTCAGGGACACCTCGGTAGCACTTGGTCTTGCCGGGACTTGAACTGGTGACCTTCCAGTTGCCAAGCCAAGTCCCTATCGGACTTCGCCAACACCGCCCAAAACAACATTTAAAACATCCTTTTCAAACAAATGCAACAAGTTTGTTTTTTAAAGCGCTCTAGAAATCAATCTGACGTTGACCATGACCGTGTTAATATTTGCCATCACAGGAACGTTTTATAAAAAAAGAATAACATCCTGAAAACATTTTCAGAATGTTTCTTGGAGAATGTTCTTCTTTGGTTATCAGGTAACATTGAGGGAACGTTTTATAAAGAACATCTTTAATGTGTTACCCCAACAACGTCCAAAACACATCTTTAGAATGTTGCAGGCAAAACGTTCCACCTTTGTTAACATATCACATTAAAGGAACGTTTTATAAAAAAACGTTGTCATCTCAGGCCTCAATAACATCCTGAAAACATCCTCTGAATGTTGCATTTAAAACGTTATGTCTTAGTTAACCTTAAACCTTATAGGAACATTATTTGAAAAAATAAACATCCTAAAAAGGTTCTTTGAACATCAACATTTCTTTATAACCTTATTAGAACCAATAGGTAACATTAGCCAAAGTTGTGAGAACATTCCCCGCTAGCTGGGTGGGTAAATTCCCCTTTGATTCTATTGGCTCTAACGGTCAAAAAGAGATGTCAATCACCAAAATCGACCAATGGGTTCCAGAGAAACGGTAAAAACGCCCATTTCCACCCAAATCACCTCAGAGGTGGAGTTTTTTTTGCTAAATCTCTCTAAAAAGGTCAAATTTCACTTGTTTTGCATCAATATTGATACAGGGTACTTATTATATGTTGTACTTTGGATTTCTAAAGCTTTTAGTCTACCTTACCATCATCCAAGGGTAGTTTTTACTATAAGTAAAAAATAATCTTTGGACGGACACTATAATTTACAGTTTTTTACCATGTTCAATCTGAATTTTCTTTAAAATAAAAAACATCTATATTGAATCTGACTTTTCTACATCCAACTCACAGGTTTATCATTACTTTGAGAAAAAATATTATTAATGTAACCCTTTTAGAAGGGAAGATATGGTCATTTGTTCTGGGAATGTCATTTTCGAGCCTGAAACCTGAAAAACAGGTTTAGGGCTTAACAGGTTAAAGGCTCACTGTGTTCAGAAGAAGAGAATCCATGTTGTCGTGTGATTGGCTGTGATTACAAGGCCACCAGCTAACAGGGAACATTCTGGAACAGTGGCGGAACAACATTGTGTGTGTATTACTTTCTGCTGGTGGCTTTGGTACCAGTGTGTGATTTACTGTGACTGCTGGCTTGCTTGTACATACAGTATTTATTTATGTGTGTGCAGGAGCCAGCAGAGTACTGTGGTGCTGAGGGTAATTGAGAGTGACGTGTGGAGAGCTATTTTGGGAGGGGTGCAGAACAGAATTGGTAATGCTGGTGGGATGAATGTGGAGGTCAGACTCTAGTTGAGAGGACAGGTAACGTGTTAACCCCTCTAGCCACTGTGTCAGAGATCACAAGGGGAACTGGACAGGAACTGTTTTTAGAAGTAGCTTTTTCACTAAAAGGGAAACAAATGTATCTGCCTACATTTTCATCATGCTCATTTTGAGTAGCATATTTCTGTGTGACATACATTATACATTGTAATGTATAAGCACTGGGATTACATGTAAATGAAATCCCATTAACAATTGAAGGAAAGTATAGAAACACTTTTCTCAAACTGGTTTATTGGTTATGCTTTATCCTTTTTGTTCATGAAGGATTGATAACACTTATAGATATGATCAAATCAGTGTTATGAATTGCTAGAAGAGACATTTATAACACATCATCTGCATAAAGACTGATCTTGTGAATGTCTTTATAGCTTTGATATTTAAAGTTTGCTGGATTGCAGATGCTAGCACTTCAGAAATGGTCTCAGAGGAAATAAAAGTGTCCATAGCTGATGTTATCAAGTTTTACTTCACACAATGCCACAATCTGACGACGGTTGAGGTTCTGCCCACATTAACACAGACATTCAAACACACAAAGAAAGATTACTGCTTTAGATACAGGCATGGGTATTACAATCTATATACCAAATGTGCAATTAAACACACAACAATGGAAAGTCTTACTGCACCAGTATTTGGACATGGTTACACACAGATACCCATTCAAATGCACTCAGCTCTTTGCCCACTGTTCATGCCAGTAGAGCGCCATTAGCACTTCACACCATCAGAAATGACTCGAATGAAATCTCAGTCATTGGAACAATGGAATACTGGCAGTTGGTACAAAGACTCTGAGTGGTTGTGTGTATTTGTTGGGGATGTGCCAAACTGAATATGAACGCTCTCGCTGCATGCACAAAGAGAAGCACAACTATGGACTTCATGTGTAATTGCAAATGGCTGAAGGAGAATGTGACAATAATAGACCCATTATGTTCAGTAGGGATTGTAATGTAACGTTTAGACTTTTGGTCTACTGTAAGAAGAGCAGATGGTTGATGTCCACATATGTGAAACTAGTTGTTGTTAAGGGGTTTCCTTCTCTGAAACCAGGAAAATATACCTGAAATCAAATGGAAAATATCCAACAGTCTTGTGTTTTAAACTGTAATCCTCATGCTCATCAAGCTTTCCCTCACAGATCATCTGATGGTTAGCTCTGTTATTTTAGCCTTCCTCTCTTGACATTTAAAACGTGCGGGCTATAAGAAATGAGTCTTAAGATGAGTTGGTTAATTCTGCACGTTGCCTGAACATTTACATTTAAATGACTGAGTTTATGATAGCATAATTATCTAATGATGAAATAATGTTACAAAGTCACATACAATTGAAAAAACGGTCATCGTCAGAGCCTCATTTAGCAAATTAAAGCCGTTTGTACTGTAGGTTAACATTTGTATCGCTCTGTGTCATGATTTTTAATTTGAGCACGCTTCTGGCAAATCTTATAGCAGTTCAGCAAGCAGTGCTCAGTGATACACAATAAACTATAAACACATAGCACAAATGACCTTCAACAGGCCAGTCTGCTCCTGCTAGAGGCTGCAGGCAGCAGAGGGCTGACGGCCTGGTGCACCCGTGATGTGATGTTAGGAGAAGCAGTGTGTGTTTTATGTGTGATCATCAAGTGTGCCTGGGTTAACCTCAGGCTAAACTCAGGTAACTCTGACCTGGTTGTGTTTTGGTTGGTCTATTAGGTCCACCACTCTGTGAATGCAGTCAGCCAGCTGCACCCCCCATCTCTCTGAGCCACTGCCACGATCAGGGCTGCACAAATGACTGCTGACTGAAACCAAGGTTATTAAACAATACAGATCAAAAACAAGTGTTTACTGTACTTTCTCCTTAATTGTATACTCTATGGTCCTTGTCCTTAGAAGAGTGTATAAAACCCAAAGTTTCCCCATACACACAGAGTCATTAGCCGCAACCTCATGGTGAGGTCTAATGCCTGGGCAATAAATGGAACATCAGGAATGAACGTATGGTGTCTAGCATGACATATCATTATTTTGTCCTCTGCAGTTTATCATAGTAAAATAACTTGGAGACATTTTATTGGAAAATGCAAGAATGCATCTTCAATCACTAGTTTGAGAGCATTTATCAGTTCTTCTGTGATACTTTGGAAGTCTTATTGTTGACATTCCTGATTCAAAAATGCTGTCTCTGTCCCTTCATGATCAATCAACATTGCAAATCATGTAAGATAAAACCCCCCAGAAGCTATCATTGGCTGGGGTTCATCAGTTAGTCTGATATGTCTCTCGTCTTCACCTGACGAGGCATTTACAGTAAGTCATGTAGCCTGATCTCACCAGATTGCACCCATTTTTTAACCTTCAACATCCTGGTCACTACCATCAATTAATAGTCAAATCGCAGAGAGGGAAAACCCTCTGGTGTCAAGTGTTGCCCTTCAGTGAGTAGCCTTAGTGTGTGGAAGCTTTGAATCAATATTCCTTTGCCCACAAAGGATCAATACGCTGCCAGATTTAGACACGTTTCTCTCTGTGTGAGGTATAAACCTCAGTGTTGTATTAATACATCAAAAGCCTTCATCAACCTTTTGTCTACATGAATCATCTCTTTCCTGAATGTTCCCACAGGTCTCCAACACATTTTAATCAGCTTTATTCACATGGTGTTCTTTCAACAGCTGATGGAAAGATGATTCAAACTGTAACAAATGAGACGACACAGCCAAAACTATATTGACCTCCCAACTAGCTTGGTTTCTTGCATTGATTGTTGCAGTCTAAGCTTTTGAAGCTTTTCGTTATATACTTACTGTGCTTCATTGTCTGAAATGGATATGCTGAATTTCAACACCTGCACAAGAACTGTATTTTGTTGCATCAGATTATGTAGTTTTACCAAATAAATGAGAGGATTACAAAACATTTTGAAATAGTATAAGTGTAATATGTAAGACAGCTCGAGGACATGAACAATAACTTGTAATATTATTGTGATCCACATTAGTTGAAAAGGATTCTTACAACAGTTGTGTTCAGATTGTAGAAATAGTGGGCCCGGTTTTTCAAGCCTGTAGTATAGCTGCTATTTTCCAGCTTGACACAGTATTGTGTAGTTTGTAGTGTGAGACGTTCACTGACCCTCTTTCCTCCCTGTGTGTGCACTCAGCCTATCTGCTATCATTTATAATGCACTGCAGTGCGTACAGGGCTCCACGTGGGAAGAATCACTGACCTATTTCAGAGCTTTCTCTGCTGCTCTCTCTGTTCTCTGTCTTTCTCCCTTATCTTCATTTCTCTCTCTCCATCACTTCTCTGCTGGGAATACATGGCCCGTACTGGACTGTGTGGCATACTCCGACTTAACCTAATCCCTTCTCTACTGTTCTTCTATTTGTGTGTGTGTGTGTGTGTGTGTATGTTTGGTGTGTGTGTGTGTGTGTGTTCATTAATTTATATAATTGGGTGATACTAGTCAGGTTTCTCAACAGCTGGGCTACAGAGATAGGTGTGTGCAGTCAGTCATGTGTGACCCTATACTGTACCCCTCTTTGCATCTGCTTCCATACAAGTGTGTGTGTGTGTGTGTGTGATTGGAACTCCATGCCAATTCAGGGGTATCAGCTCCCAAGGGGCAGATTAGCTATTTAGTTGAATAATGTTGGACTGACATGCCACCAGATGGTTTATGCAAAATGTGTGTGTGTGTGTGTGTGTGTGGTAGGTGTTTGCAGGTTTTGGGTGAAATGTGACTCCTGCCCTCAGGCCACAAAGCTGTCCCCTCCCTTGTGAGACCTGTGTGTTATTTCACGGAACCTATAAAGAGACGAAGCTGATCCTTTACCATGTATTCAAACTAGTGGAAAAACAATGGCAACCATCATCTGGACACAGTGATTGCATGATTCATGCTGTTCACTGTACAGCAGGGCTGTTTTTGTTTAAATCGTTATACCTTATCATAACTTGATAATATAAATAAATAGTTTTTAGAATCAGACTTATGAGTTATCATTGTGTCTGTCAGCAGACGGTGGAAGGGTGTAGTTGGGTCAAGGATAGAGCCCATTACATTTTGGAGTGGATCCAAATCCCAGGCTGGATACACACATTACGTTTCCCTTTTTTCACACTGCATACAGGACGTTTGTGCTGATATCATGTGGCGTCAGAATAATTAGAATTTGGATCCTTGCTTGGACATTTTGTGTAAAACTGCTGTCAACAAATTGTTTAGACTTTAATAAAAAAAAAGCAAAACAAATTCTGTGATCTGAGTCAGTGCACTGACTCACAGTCCTTTGTGTTGCGTCACATTCTCTGCGCTTATTTTCCTGGAACTTTAATATGGCAACCTTATGGTAAAACTCCCCCTCACACTCCCACTGGATATTTGTAATCGTTATTATATTTGTCCTGCTGTCATAGCTTTGAGCATGGTGTGATTTGCAGCTGAGTGAAGGATTGATCCTGGCTGGAGGCGGCAGCATGGAGGCAGGATTAACAGTGGGCAGGTGGTCCTGATATGGTTGCCAGTACACCAACCTGGCTTTCATGTGGAGGTGGTGGGGGGGGGGGGGGGAGTTAATTAGAAACCTTTGGTTTGTAGGCTGGCTGATTAATAATGTGGCTTGAAGAAGAGTGTAAAAAACATGTGTGTGTGCATGTGTGCGTGCGTGCGTGTGTGTGTGTGTGTGTGTGTGTGTGTGTGTGTGTGTGTGTGTGTGTGTGTGCGTGTGTGTGAGTGTGTAACCGGGTCACTGTACAGCTATCAGCTTCACCTCTCACTGAGGTCTTTGTTGAGCAAAGGTGGAGGTAGCCTGAACAGGAAGCTAGCACAACCTTATCATCCTTAGTATCACTGTTAACTGGATATTGTTGTAAATAACACAGCACCATCGTTTTTTTTTTAAACTTAATTTTTATTTTCAGATTTGACAGAAAATAGAAAACAATCAGTTCTGCAGCAATGGCTTGTACATCAGTAGACAAATACACTTTAGGACAAAGGCAAACAGAGTTGCTTGATATTAGTATATATGTATTCATTTTTCAATGTTTAACATCAGAGGATGGAAACATCTTCGTGTTTATTAAAGTTTCTTTTTTTATGTTTGTAAAATTCCACTTTGTCTTTTTACATTTAATATGAGTAAGTTAATTTTTTTAAATGTTCGAATCAATAAGACCTGTGATCCAAAAGTTGCCCTTTGGTTAGATGATAAGTATTAATAAAGAGGTATTCCCATAAAGTCTATGGACACCTTTTAGCAACTTTATCTAAAAAGATTATGAAAATATTGCATCAAAGACATTGGTGAGATTTGAACAATGGAACAATCCCAATCATTTTAATTCTCCATCATCGTAGAACGTGAAACCATTCTACATGTGGAAGGGCTTGTCCTTTGAGGAGCAGCGGCACAGAGCTTCTCCTTGGCTGTGTTTCTGGGCTGCTCTCTCCAGGGAGCCCCACAGGACTCAGCTGTGAATGTAGGCCAACGCTCTCATGCCAGAACACAGCTCCCCACAAACAGTTTAACTGTAGATATACTCCAGTCTACTACTCTGTCTCCATCCTAATCATCTGTTCCTCTGTCTTTCTCTCAGGTCTTCGGCGCTCTGTCAGGAGAACCTTTTTAGCTAATCAGGAGAGGCCGGCCAACCGGAGGGGTAGAGATGATGCGGCAGGGCGGCCATGTTGCCCTGGCTCTCATGTCATCACTGCTGCTGCTGTGGCGTTACGCAGCAGCCATCGAAGTTCCACAAGACCGTAAGTCCCTCAGCAGCCATCAGACCCGCTCAGAAGCAACGTGTTCCAGCAGATAGACCGTGAAGTCTGCTGAGATACATGGCTCAGGTCCATGGGCGGCGCCAGGATTTTTTTGCTGCAGTAGTTTAGCAGTTGCTATATGACAGCACGGCGTTGCTAGTTCATTTTAAAACATAAATAAACAAACAATACCAGTGGGCCAAGCACGAGCCTGTTCATATTGTAGCGTTCACCGCTATTGCCACGTCTTACAGAACCAATCAATAGTATAACACTCATTATGACTTTTCCCCACACTTGAAGACAACTCCTACCGTCTCGTACTCCCTCCACACACATCGGAACACACACACACACACACACACACACACACACACACACACACACACACACACACACACACACACACACACACACACACACACACACACACACACACACACACACACACCACACACACACACACACACACACACACACACACACACACACACACACACACACACACACACATCTGGAAGGGGCGGTCTCTCACTAACTCCCACAAACAACATTGCCTAAATAACTTTACAAATGTACTAAACTGTGCACATGTGATAACTGACATAACTATTAACTTGGACACGCTACAATATTATCCTTAATATTTACATTAAAACATTCCTTTGACACTTATAACATTACTTTGCAAGGTAAGCACAACCAAAATAAGTTTGTAAAAGCAGAATTTGAACACTGTTTCTGTGCTCCTACAATATGTGTGTATAATACCATCACACCCTGAGCGTACAAGTACACAATAGCGATTGTGCACTGTTTCAACTGGCATGCTGTGGCATTTAACCTCATCACCACACCGCAAACAGACAGACACACACACACACACACACACACACACACACACACACACACACACACACACACACACACACACACACACACACACACACACACACACACACACACACACACACACACACACACACACACACACACACACACACGCTTGTCCGGCTCCGTTGGAGATCGCGGTCGTTTACGCTGACTTGTGAGAAATCTTTCCATTTTCGATCTGTGTTCGCATACTGAGAATTATAACAACATTAGCCAAGTAACAGTTTGCGCTTTAACTTACAAAGACCCCTGATAGATCTTGCGGAATGTGTATAAATATATATAGACGCATTTTCATAACAAAACAATGGGGTTGCTAAGCCGTTGCTAGGCCAATTGTTGGAGTTACTATAGCAACTCCAAGCTACCCCCTGGCGCCACCCCTGCTCAGGTCTATTGAGGACCATGAGAGCTCAGTGGTCCCTCTGTCTGGAAAACAGAGCTTTGGGCAAAAAGAATGCTAGAACTGAGGAAATGATGATGTTCCATTTCATGTCATATTCCACAAACCACTTTATCTCACATTTTTTGAAACTTTGTAAACCCTACAGTGCTGACACAAGCTGACACAGAACCATGGAGCTGTGCTGCCAGTTTTCCACTTCGTATACAAAGTTGTTGCTTTGATGCTTTTAGTAAAGGGCAGATATTTTTAGAACTCGTAAGTCAATAGGCAGACTCGTTTTTAAGTTCATTCAACCATTTATTTGTGGCATTGTGAGCTTGCGGTAAAGATGATGGAAACATTAGAGAGATAGGAGCATGATAATGACCTGTCCCTTACCTGACACTGCACTGAAAAACTATAGGTTACTTACGTAACCCCAGTTCTCAGAGTAACATGAAGTGAGATGTCTCACTATGGGATGCGCCTCATCGCGGAGCAAACAGAAGCATCAATCTCATTACGCCAATCCTGATTGGCTGGTGATCTTGACGTCAGCGTCAGGGAATTCACCCCCTATAAGTAGCTTGCGCCACGACGCATGCGTCATTCAAAATAAGCACCTCTTCTCGCTTCACCATAGCAAGGAGGGCCGTCTGGTGAGACATCTTACTTCATGTTACTCTGAGAACTGGGGTTACGTAAGTAACCTATAGTTCTCATTCATAACACTCTGTTCGATGTCTCACTATGGGAAATTGTAGCTCCCGTATTGTCAGACGAGCTTATCTCGAAAATCACCAAACCAACCAGAACCTAACAGGTAGAGCTCTGACTCAACCAGGTGCCCAGCACTGCTTGAGTCACACTGGGAGCAGAACGTCCAGCCTGTTAAGAGGCGGACAAAAGTGAGCGGCGAGGACCAGCTCGCCGCTGCACCAATGTCTTGGATGGGAGACATCCTGGCCAGAGCCCAGGATGCAGCCAGACCCTGAGTCGAAAGAGCTCGCGGACCCGAGGGTGCCTGCGAACTCTGACTCGTATGGGCCCTAAAGCAATTGCTTCCACAAACCAGTGGGAGAGCCGTTGCTTAGTAACAGGCTTGCCCTTATAAGGGTTAGCCCAGGACACAAGGGGTTGGTTATTATGACGAAGCACCCTTGATCTGTCCCTGTACGTGCGTAAAGCACGGGCTGGACACGGCAAATCCGGCCGCTGTTCCCCGGAGGAATACAGTGGCGGGGAGGATGCCTCAATGTCAAATGTGGTACCTGAACCAACCGCCTTAAGATAAAGGCAGGGTCAGGCTTCAACCACACTCTGTTTGCCCTGGGGCGAACTGAGTGCATGAAGACTGTACAGATAGTGCATGAGTGCCACTGGCTCGCTTGGCAGCTGCCAGGGTCAGCTTCATGTCACACTGTATTCAGATTGTACCACTCACGGGCCAGGCCCATAGAGCCAAGCGCTCTGGGTGTGGGTGAAAGATCGCCCCCCCCGCTTGGGACAGTATGTCCCTGCGTAGTGGGAGCTGCCATGGCTGCCCGCACAGCAGCTGATATATCTCCGCTAGCCAGTACATAGCTGGCCGGTGCGGAGCTATCAGGATAAGTGTGTGGCGTTGCTCTCTCACTCTGGCCAGAGTTGGGGGTATCAGAGCCAGGGGTGGGAACGCGTACAGAAGGCCCGGGGGCCAATCGTGCGCGAGTGCATCCACGCCTAACGGTGCATTTAGATCGCGCATCGAAAAGAACAGCTGACATTGAGCGTTGTCTTTCGATGCGAACAGATCCACCGCGGCTCTGCCGTAACGCACCCACAGCTGGCTCACAATCCGTGGATGTAGAGTCCAGTCTGCATAAAGTGGTATACCTCTGGACAGTAGATCTGCCCCGAGGTTCATCACTCCCGGTACGTGCGTCGCTCTCAGAGAGAGGAGACGCCTACCGCTCCATAGGATAAGTTTGCGCGCCAGTGTGTGTAACTGGAGAGAACGCAAACCCCCTTGGCGGTTAATATACGATATTGTGGTCGTATTGTCTGTGGTGTCCCCTGAGGAAAGGTAGAAAGCATTTTAGGGTGAGAAACACCGCTAAAAGCTCCAGGTAATTTATGTGCGCCCGCTGGAGGTCTCTGCTCCAGAGACCCCTCACCGGGCGACCTTCATAAATACCTCCCCAACCATGCGTCCGTGGTGACCACTTTCCGTGAAAGGACAGCACCCATAGGCACACCTCGTACTAGAAAAGTCGGGTGCAGCCAGTGGCGCAGTGCCATTACGCATTTCACAGTAACCATCACTCTGGCGCGCGGGGTTTAGTTTTAGGGCGGCCACCCAGCGCTGAAATTCCCTCATGTGTAAGCGTCCCAGTCGTACGACCAGGATGGCTGACGCCATGAGCCCCAGCAATCGCAGGCATGATCTGAAGAGAACATGTTTGCGCAGCTGGAAAATAGCGAGACAAGCTCTGAAAGCTTTCACTCTTTCCGCTGACAAGCGAGCTGAAAAGGGCACCGAGTTCAGGCGTAAACTCAGGAAGAGTATAGTCTGCGCTGGGCACAACATGCTCTTCTCTGTGTTTATTATGAAACCCAGGTTGAGCAGGTGCTTTACGAGGACATTTGTCTGCGTAACAGCCTCCTGCTCCGACTGTGCGAGAAGCAGCCAGTCGTCCAGGTAGGTCGCCAGGCGAATACCCTGTTGTCTTAACGGGGTTATCACGGCTTCCGTACATCGTACAAACACCCTTGGACTGAGAGACAGACCGAAGGGGAGTACTCTGCATTCATAACAGATCCCCTGAAATGCGAATCTCAGATATTTCCTGTGTGGGTAATATACTGGGATGTGAAAATACGCATCTTTCAGGTCGACTGATGTAAACCAGTCGTCTTGTCGCACGAGCCGCAGCAGAGATGTGTGAGTGAGCATTCTGAACTTATATCTTTTTAGATATTTGTTCAGAGCCCTCAAATCAAGTATTGTCCGAATTCCGTTCCCTCCCCGTTTGGGAACGAGGAAGTACTTGGAATAGAAGCCGCCCTGACTCTGCTCGGCGGGTACAATAGATATAGCCCTCTTTTCTAGGAGTGAGAGAATCTCTCTCTCCAGAATATGGGCTGACTCTCCTCGGGCCTGCGAATGCAGAATGCCTGAGAAGCGACGGGGGGGGTGACGGTGACTTGGAGTCTGTAGCTCCGTGTAACTGTCTTGAGAAACCCAAGCAGATGTCGTGAGCATCTCCCGCTGTATGCTCCTTAGAGCCAGCTGAGATGTCATGTCTTTTCCCCTCTGAGTCTCTATTGTGTTATGGGGCCCTCCAGTGTCTGAGCACTGTGGTGCCACATTTCGACAATCCCCACCGACACAGCGCATGCGTGTGGCGGTGGTGCCCTTACGGCTCCAGCCGGCACTGCGCATGCGCGTGACGGTGGTGCCTTTACAGCCCCAGCCGGCACTGCGCATGCGCGTGACGGTGGTGCCTTCACAGACCCGTCAATTGTCCGCCCTTTGAGAGAGGCCGTAGCTGCTCTCAGAAGGGGAACAGTTGACGGACTGTTTATTGTTTTTATTGTTTTTCTTTTCATTTTTTCAAGCTGCGCCCTTGGCTCGAAGCCTGGATGCGTTAGCGGAAAATGTTTTATGACAGAAAAATCAATAAGTGTGTGACATGTGTTTATGCGGACTTGAGGATGGTGTTGAGGCATCTCTCGAGGCGGC